CCATTGTTGGTCAACAGGTGAAGGCCACTGGTCTCACAGTCATCTGCCCATTGGATCCCAACTGCCTGGAACTTGCCAAGTTGCCCGGCCCTGCCCCTTAAAATACAGCCCCTCATACCAGGTCCCCCTCTGAAGCCTGCTAGAGCATGGTGGTGACGGGGATCACGACGCGCTCTCTCTGGCGGCTCTACAACAAGAAACCATGATAGCGGGCCTCGCCTCCTGCTCCACCAAGCCACCTGGACACTGGGGTCACCTACTTCTCAGATCTAAGGAGTTGCTTTGCAAATTGAGGGGATGGAAGATCTGGGGGTGGGAAGAGAATCTGCTCAACAGGGCTCCCTGTAGTCACGACACGGCATCTTTTAAATATATCGGTGGTACTTTTTCTGCCAAAGAGCTGTTTTCCCAAAGACCAGCTGACCTCTGCTCCAGGAATGAAGTTATTAAACTCCGTTATAAAGGCAGCAGGAAACAGAGAGCCAGGCTGGCTGCACTCTCAGGAGACATGGATACCAGGCCAAGTTCAGCCAAGAACTCACTATGAGCAGGTGACTGACCTCTTTGTCATCTGAAAAGTAAGGATATCACTTGTTTTACCATATGCCAAATATGTCCTGCGGCTCAAAGAGCATAATAAAGGAGACTGGGCTTTGCAGCATTTAAACCATTTCCCAGATGTAAGGTGGCGTGCGCTGTGCTGGCTCCCAGAGAGGAGTTGGGCAACTGAACCCAAAGAGCAGCATCTCATTGATCTTCACATCACTGTGCTACACACTGGGGGAGCCAACTACCCCGATCGGTCCGTGTTTGACAAGGACCCTGGGCTCTCGCTCCCCAGCACGTCACAAAAGTGAAAAGAGGTCATTTATTAAAACTAGAATAAAACAAAGTGACGTAGTTTATTTTAGACTTCCAATGAAAGACAGAAGGAGATCATTTTATGACAATTTGAAATGAGGATTCTGAAAAGATACAGCAGGGCACCCTGGGCTCAGGCAGGGAGGTGCCTGGAGTCCAATAACATGTGTAGAATCCCAGCTTTTACTAAACAGCGCAGTGGGTCAGGGAAGCATGCACTCTGGATGAGACGTCAGAGTCCGAACCCCAGGTGCTGGCTGTGTGACCCTGGGCACACGACTTGACCACTCTGTGTCTCAATCCGCTCACCAGTAAAATGGAGTGTACCTGCCTTCATCACTTTACCACCCTTGTGGGGTTATCATGAAACCTGAAAGAGTTTGTGTTTGTAAAGTACGTAAAACAACATCTTGCCCACAGCGAACACTGTTAAGTGTTTTTAAATAAACATCCACTTACAGAATTCTCAGGAACAGTAAATAAGATGTGTGTAGTTTGTTTAGCAATTTAACTGCAGGAAGTTAGTCATAAATTTAAAAATTAGTGGATATAGGGACTTCCCTGGTGGTGCAGTGATTAAGAATCCGCCTGCCAATGCAGGGAACACGGGTTCAAGCCCTGGTCCGGGAAAACCCCACATGCCGCGGGGCAGCTAAGCCCGTGCACCACAACTACTGAGCCTGCACTCTAGAGCCCGTGAGCCACAACTACTGAAGCCCACGCGCCACAACTACTGAAGCCTGTGGGCCTAGAGCCCACGGTGCTCCACAACGAAAGAAGCCACCACAATGAGAAGCCCACGCGCTGCGACAAAGAGTAGCCCCCGCTCGCCGCAGCTAGAGAAAGCCCGCGTGCAGCTACGAAGACCCAACACAGCCAAAAATTTTAAAAAACAATAAATAAATAAATAAAATTTTAAAAAATCTTTAAGAAAAATAAAAATTAGTGGATACAGATTTAGATAGCTGAGCAGACGATTTACAGCCGACTTCAGGCCTGAGGTTACCCAAAGCAAGTTTACCAGGCCTCCTGGTGTTCAAAGTGCACGTCACAGGAGACTGGACATCCATGTGCATCCGGCACTGATGGAGCTCTGCCAGGCACACCGCGCTGCTGGGAGAGCTAAGTGCCCGACTGCATTTAAGCCTCGCTCCACCTTCACAAGCCCATGACTTCAGGACCATTCACTTTCTCAGTTTTCATCCAAAGGATGAAACTGAGGCTCAGAGATGCCAAAGATCTTGTCCATGGTCTCCCAGTGCTGCAAAGTAGAGCCAGAACTGAAATCCAGATAGGCTGGACTGCAATACCTGTGCACTGGCAGAACGCAGAAAGTTCTGGTCACCGCAGTCTCTGATCATAAACAATTTCTGAAAGTGCTAATTAAGATGCTCGTTGATATATACTCCTACTTTCAAATAAAGTATAAATCATCCTTAAACTGTAAAATTAAGCTTTTTGAGGGGAAAGTAGAACCACCATCACTAACTGTAAACCACCTAAAACTCAGCAAATTGAAAAGAAATAGATTCTCCACATACCAGCATGTTATCCAATACTATTTTATTCTACTGAAAAAAAACCTCGCTGGCCTTCCCAAAGAATTTCACACATACAGACTTACTTTCTCAAATAACACAGAAAACCATTACCAGCCACGTCCTGCAGTAAAACAGAGAGAAGAGGAAAGGGGAAAAACAGAAAGACCCTTACTTTCCAGAAAGGGTTTGAAAGCAACACTGCTAGAAAACACTATCCTGCTTAATCCCAGTGCTCTGTAAATAGACATTTAAAAAGCTATTTATACAAATCAAAACATGCAAACTGCCAGAAAAAATACATTTATTTAAACCAAGGAGGGTCTTGCTTCTGGTTTTCTTTAGAAATCTGAGGTTACAGAAAGCAGATTTTTATGATTTTAATTGCACATAAAAATACGTGTGATATTATGGTCTCCAAAGCTCTTGAATCCAACTAGGATAAGCTGTTCCCTCACCATGATCATCCTGACTGTGGATTCTGTCCTTTTCACCCTTAACTGTATGCAAACGCACGATGATAATTTTGCCTGTCCCGGAGCACGCCTATTTCTTCCCACCTTTGCCCTTCATCTCTTTGGGCTTCTAGAGCTTTCCACAATGATTAAAGGCAAGAAGGGTCCCAAATAGATACAGCTTTCACAAAGAAACTCCCTCCTCCTCCCTTGTGCTAGCTTACTGAAAGAAGGGAGGCTGCCCTTTCCAAGCCCCTGGCCGCCCCTCTTGCAGGAAGCCCTGCGGGGGCAGGGAATCCAGAGAAAGACTGTCCTGCAAGTCCCAGCCCCAGGGCTCAAAACACAAAATTTTGTAATTTGTCCACTCCTGTAAAGCTCCATTCAGAGCAGACCACTTTGTTTTCCCAGGAGATGTGTAATTTTAGGCAAGGTTTCTGGAAGACAAGACACTGCAATTAATGTTTGGTGAGGGGGTGTGTCAAGGACACAGGAACTTTTAAAAATGTCCAGTCACATCTTGACAGTCTCCAGAGTTTGCTGACTTAAAGGCCCTGTAGCCAAACTGAAAAAAAATCTCTAAAAGCAAAAAAAAAAAAAAAAAAAAAAGTGTCAAGGAAAAATAAAAATATACATTCCATTTTTCACATAATGTTCTGCCAAACCCCATGCCCCACGACCACACACATTTCTAGACACCACCTCATGCTGCCCGAGCAGCCAGGCCTTCTGCTGCCCTGAAGCCAAGGCTGGGAAAGCAGCAGCCATGAGACCAGCTAAGAGGGTGAAGGCACTGTGGCAGCCACACGGCTGTCAGCCACTTCCAGCAAACTCGCTGGGAAGCCAATCTCTACACTTAAGGTGCTGTGCACCCAGCCCTCACCTCCTCTTCAAGTGCCTTAACTACAAAGTCTCTCTCGGCAATGTTGATTCCTGATGTCAGCGTGCCACTTAGGATTACTCAATTTCAGGTTTCCTGTCCTGTGAAATACTTTACACAAGTTATCGGGAGATAGTGTGGTCCTCACCAGTTTCCTGCTTTCAGTCTTCCCGCAATGCTAACAATGTATTCTCTTCCATTTCCTTGTTCCAAAAAGCCTTCCACCACCAACTTACAGAAAAAAAAAAAAAAAAGCCTCCAAAAGAATCTCCTGGTCTCTATACTCCCAGCTCCCGGGTCCAATGGTAGACTGCCCCCTCTACAGTGCCCACCCCTTTCTCAATGTGATGGCACCACCATTCTTCAGTTATCACAGTACTGTACCTTTCAGATATACAGCATCGGTACCATGATAACCGAAAAAGGACAGTTCAGTCTCATATCTACCTGAATATTTCCTCGAACCCAAGGCCCATTCCCTCTGCCAGCTTCCCACCCACAGGTGGCCACAGAATGATCTTCAAGTATATATACACATGTACAGAGATGTCAGTGCTCAAACAGGCTGTTTCACAGCAACCTCACTGACTATCAACAGGAGTGCTTCTTTCACTGTGCTGTTTAGAATTCAAGTCTTCTGAGGACCTGTTCTTTTTTGGAGAATGCCTGCTTTAAAACGCCAACAGTCAACTTCTGATAACATCTCATGGCCTCAAACTCACCTCTGCATTTCCCTCCTAGTCCAGTGGTATTACTATGAACTTTGCCTCTTGGACAAAAAGGCAGTCTTTTTGGCTAAAGCTAGGGAAAAGAGCGATTTTTAAAAACTAACAATAAAACCCAAGCTATAACAGAAGCAGGGGTTTACCTCCAAAGTGGAAACAATATCTAAAGCACAGACAGAACTGTCTAGTATAGATCACGCAGTTTTAATGACACAGAAATGACAGATGGGAAGGAAGAAACTGCAGGAAAGAAAGGAAAGCAAAATCCTTGTTAAACACCAGATGAAAGCAACAACCTCCAGCTCATTTAAGGATCAGCATAATCAGGTGGGAACAGGATAGTGCTCATCATTTTGTTCGACTGGAGGATTAAACTGGACAGCATAAGGGGGCTGTAAGAAAACAACTCACGTGTAG